CTGAACATAGACTTACTGTACTACTATAACAGGAGTTTTACCAGTAGTTGCCACAGTTGGCAGCCAGGTTGGCAACTGCAATTAGACTTTTGGTGATGTTTTAAAAGCAACGCTGCTACCCATCCCTCTACCTTTAAGTATCCTTAATCGCCTCTTACAACACCCACGGGTAAGAGGAAGAAGGAATTGTTGGCAATGCGAACTATCAGTCTCATTGCTAACAATATGCCCTATCAGGTCGACCTTCCCGTGGTCCCCCCTGGAAATCATCGTGCTGAATTCCAGTTGTATTCATCACGATGGGCTAACTGTCCTGCCTTTTTCATTCTCGCCTATCGTCTGTTACTGGTGCTCCGCGAGCTAATACCGTTAGCACAGGGAGGAAAGGGATTGCTAGTAATGGAGACTGAGAATCCCATTGCTAGCAATATACCCAACCAGGTCGACCTCCTCGCGGTTCCCCCTGGAAACTATCATGGTTTACTCCTGATGAATTCATCATGATGGACTAACTGGCCTGTTTTCATTCTCATCTATCACCCTTCACTGGTGCTCCGCCAGCGTATCCCGTTAGCGCAGGCGGGGTTACCATTCCATTTTCACCCGTCAAAAAAATACCGTTAGCACAGGCAAGGTTACCATTCCATTATCATCCATAAAAAAAACCCACGGGAAAGAAAGAGATGGTCTATTCTATGCTGCGACCAGACAGCAATTAATTTCATTATGAAATTTTTTTTTCAGAAATTGCTAAATTAGCTATAATTTTCAAGTATTATTTCTTTTTGTGCGTTTTCTTCACTTATACTAAGTATGTGTGCTTTATTGACTAATAAAATATTTAATTGTAGAACAGTCATAGATGCGGGTAAAACTGTAGGTTTGCCTTAAATAAATCACCTACTATATCTCCATCTATAGACGTATAATACCGTTTACCTGGCATCTTAAAGTTTACTTTGCGCCACCCGTCGGCGAAGCAACTACCTGATAACCACAAAAATTATCTTTCCCGCTGGGTGACAAGTTATAAACAGATGTCGAATTGTTGATATTATTCACAATCACCTATCTATAAGGATACAAATCAATAATCTACAAATCACAGGAGCGATAGCAAATTTTTTTTTATATACAACTTAGAGCGGCAAACAAGCTGACGGCCCACCTAATGGAAAGTGGAAACCGTCGCCTATAGACATGAGCAGTGCCATGGACATAACAGAGTATACTGTTTCGCCCATGATACTCCCCATGCGTTGCCATTCCTGAGGACTCAGATGTTATTCCTCTGTACACTGTAAATTCACGCCATATCCTACCCTTCAAACCGAAACACAGCCATGCAAACACAACTGCTTCACGGTAGAAACACGAATGGGATAGAGGTACCCAAGCAATCGACTTTTGTACAAAGTCTCCCTCTGGTAAATAATGTAAAATGTAATAAACTTAACCCTTCTTTGTATATTTTTTTTTATTGGCGAAATAAATCAAGGTGATTTTCTATTATATTCTATCTTAAAAATTTCTTGAAGAAACTTAGTGATACTTTTTTTATGCAACTTAGAATGGGAAACAAGCTGACGGCCCATCTAATGAAAAATGCTAACCGTTTGCTATAAGTACTACATAAATAGCACCATGGACTGTACAGTAGATATGGTTGACATTTATACTTGTAATAAATTTTGTATAGACTGTAACCTACTTTGTTTAATTGATGCAATGAATTGCTGTAAATAAATAAAATTAATATGTAAACTGCATGTTAATTTATCTTATCTATACCAACAATTGAGTAATTCGATCCCATACATATGTATGATGTATGTGTATTTGTATTTCTTTCATAGCCTCGTATTATCGATGACCAGATTCCAGTGTTCGTGCTAGTTACAAGAATAAAGGCAGACTATTGATAGGTGGATTTAGACTAAACGAATCTTAGTTCTTTCCTTATGTATTTCTTTATTTTTTTATTAGTATTAATACACCTGGATATGACTGGGTCATTCTAAAAATGATCTTAATCTTTAAAAATGAAATTGTGAACTATGTATTTAAATAAATTAATTAAATTTAAATAAATAATAAAAAAACCTGTCAAGAATGATCTTTATATTATTTTTTACTTAAAAAACTGAAAAGCTTTACTTTATTAACAGTCCGCATTATCCCAGGCTGATGGAAAAAAGGAACACTACTGTACACCAAACCTGTGTGAAGTCCTACTTCGCTTCCCGTTTACCACTATTCATGTTTCCCTATGTTTATAATATAATATTAAAAAAATGTAAAATTATCCGATGTTCAGTGAAAGAAGCAAAATTAAAAATACGTAATTGGCTGCAATCTCTAACTTATGTGCATACAGAGGATCTGATAAGACCTGTTTTCTAAAATATTTAATGAAATGCAAGCGCACAACACACACGCACACGTACACGCACACGCACACGCACACGCGCACGCACGCACGCACGCTTGCATGCACACACACACACACACACACACACACACACACACACACACACACACACACACACACACGCACGCACGCACGCACTCACGAACACACACACACACACGCACGCACGCACGCACACACACGCACACAGACACCCACACACAACTACACACACAAACTATTACAAATTATTATATATATTTATATTAAAATTATATTTATCCATATTAGTTAATAGGTTCCCCAGATACAGGCTCGACCCATATGGGGACCGTTGTTAATCAATTATGTAATCTACTGTTTGATATAAACATTATTATTATTATTATTATTATTTATTACAATTTTAAAGAATTATAATTCTATTTATATATATATATATATATATATATATAAGTAAGTAAGTTGCCGTGTGGTCCCAGCAAGAATAGACCACCATTTCCTTTCCCGTGGATGTCGTAAGAAATGACTAAGAAAACTTTACAGTCAAAGGAGCAGCAGCGTCCCCCTTAAAACATTACCAAAGCCTAACTGCGGTTGCTAAGCGTGGCAACTACTGGCAAAACTCAGTAGACAGTTAACGGCTGATATGAATGATTAATAAATAGAGTAAAAAAAATTAATTCATAATCATTATTTCATACTTGCAACAAATTTGCAGGATGCTAAGCATTTGAAACAATCGCTTCATACTTATTTACCTAATCTATAGAATTCTCAATTTCTTCAGTGAAACTCGCAACAGTTTTTAATTATGATAATACTGTCAAGACTAATCAAGACTAATAAATATATTCTTGAATATTTTTTGTTACTTCGTTAACAATTTAAAAGAAAACAATTTATGGAGAATTGTGCCATATTAATTTTATTCTGATCTAAACATTGTTTTAGCGCTTATTCTATTCTAGAATTTGTTCTACTTTGTTCTTTATTTTATTACTGATTTTGTATTAGTATTGAGTTTATTTTACCGCTGATTTTATTCTGAGATTTATTCCATTCTAGCATTTGTTATATCCTAAAGTTAAGTTGTTGGTTGTTATGCCTAATGTTTATTCTAACGCTCATTTGTTCTAACTCATATTTTGTTATAAGGCTAAGTCTATTTTAAAGTTTATTCTATTCTGGCATTGATTCTTTACAAAGCCAGATTAGAATTACAATTATTACAGAAAATTATTCTGTTTTAGCATTCTATTACTTTTTCTATTTTAGCGCTCGTTCTATACTAGAACTTACTCTAAAGCTTGTTTTCTTCAAGCAATAATGTATTTAATATTTGGATTTTGTACTATGTTCCCTTAGTCTAAATCTGCCTTTAAAACTCAACAGTTACTGGCACTTCGAAAGTACCAAGCATTGCAAACGGTCAGTCATAAAACTTTTCACACAATACATACATAACAACTCGAACGACATCTTCGTTGTGAATATGCATTGGAATTCAAAATAATGTGAAAATAATAAATCAAAATCTGTTTATAAATGTTTAAACTACTTAAACCGGAATAATTTAAGGAACTTTCCTATTATTATTTTTTAAGTGCTACTTACGTTAATATTAAAAAAAAATATATTGCAAAAATGTATAAACTTTATTTATTTGTACCTTAATATTTATTTTGTGTGACTATTAGGCATTTGGTTTATAGATCAAGTAAATTTGACATTTCTTATTTGTAATCATTTAATAGAAATCACCTTTTCATAATAATGGACCTGTAAAAATAAATAAAATAGCTCTGAAAATTAATATAAAATGAATAATTTGCTTATTAATTTTGGAACGATGAAGGGGTTTTCCCTCTTTAAATAAAACACCGCGGTACAGATTCAAGTACAAACGATTTAAGAAAAAAAAAAACTGAAATCAGTAGAGTCAATAATTCTTCGTTGTTCTTAAAGTACAGACGATCCATAATGATCTACTTACTTCTAGAAGAAATCACAACAATTTCATTGTTATTTGTTTTTTAATGAAATATTATAACACAAAATTTAATTTAGAAGGAATAAAAAATCTTCAATGTATTAGATAAATTATTCAAATTTTTCTCAATAGCTATGCGATTATTACAAATTATTATAAAATATTATTAAATATTTTTTTCTATAAATTGAATATAGAAAAAAAATATAAAACGTAAACTGTAGATTTTTATAATGTATTAACAAGATAAAAATGTATTTCCTTTTTTTTTTACAATCATAACTTAAATAATTAACTAGTTAATAAACTGTTTCTGAAATAGACACCACAATTTCTATTTTTTTTTTATAATATAATGTATGTTCTTATAAGTAAAAATTTTTTTTTTTATATAAACGTGAAATTTAAACTTACATGGACTTAATCAAAAGAAACTCTACTCGTACATAAAAAAGTAAGAAAACTTAGAAATTTATCTTAATTACTTATTATTATGAACTCATATATTTCTATTTCTTTTCATATTGATTTTCAATAAAAATCTAATATACTAGTAAAAAGGCAAAATAACTGAAAGTTATGACAAAGTTAACTTACCACCAGTTACCGAGAACAGCCTGTATAAGTAGAAGTAGGGTGCACAAAACTTTCCAGAGAAGCTTCATAGTGCCCTAGAACTAACGTTACAGGTCACTTCAAATGCACTTTTTTAAAGTTAACCCCGTACTCACTCCACAAAAACACCGCAAATTATAAAAGAAACTTCGAACGGTACATTTAATAACAGTAACAGAAATTGTAATCGAAAACCAAGCACTAAACAATAACCACAAAAGCGAACAACAACATAACAATGTAATCACAAAACATTTCCAAAGTGCAAACTCAAAAAAATTTAAACAAGAAAAACTTTTAAAACAAACTTTTGCAAAAGTTTACTTTGGCCGGCCACCAAATTTTAAAAACAAAACACATGACAACGATTCAAAATTTGATAATAGAAACTAACTAATGAGTTCTTTTTTGAATACGAGAAAGGAATTGGGATAGTGGTTGCTTAACCGAGCGACGCGCTTGCGACCCGCGCGCATGGAATTACCAAACCAGACTGGCTTGCTTTAAGCCGTTTGTAAGTATTCCATAGGATTCGCCCGTAAGGGGAAGGGTCGCATTGGAGGGCGTGTAGATGCAATACAACGCTGCACGAGTTCATCCTTCGAACCCTTACCACGAATAGCAACAACTTTGAAGACTTCAAACACACACGTAAAACGTCACGGCGAAGGTACTGTAGCTTTATGTATCCGCGAATAACTTATCGATCAAGAGACTTGCGAAAACTTATGGTAACAGATTTGGATTGAATAAAAAAGGAATGGTCCATACCAGTACCATCAATTGTGAGCTTATGTCGTCGTCTCGAGAAGTTAATGCGCAAAAATATTATCAGTTATTTTGAAATTGATTTGCCTCGTCTGATGGGGTTTAAAGTCATTGATGTTGTTGTAAACGTTTTGAATACATTATTTACAGTGGAAATCTGCATTGGATGACTTGCAGATGTTTAAAACGAGAAATAAAAAAAAAATAACTTTTGTTGCTAATTTAAGTCCAATTATATTGTTGACACATAATTTAAATTTCGTTAATAACAATCGATGTATTAAGGTCAAAATAATAAAAAAATGGAAAGTTCTGTTAAATACTTTATCGGGTACAGTGGACCTTAAAATGTATTGTATATGTACCTATCTTGATTACGTAAAACCTCAAATATTTAAAAGAAAGAATGAAAGAATTATATATACATACACAGTAACACGTATTTACACTGAGAAAGACTCTACTTATTTGCATATTTTTTTAGCAAATAAGTAGAGTCGAATTTCGAATTTAAATTTTATTGTTGTTGCCATAATAAAACCAATGATAAATTCATTCATAATAAAAATAAAAAATAGACAGAGACAATTTAATTATAAAATCCAAATTAAATTACTTGGCACCACATTTTAACTCACATTGTTACTTTGGGCCGACAAAATTGCGTATTAAAAACTTTTCGATCAAAGTATAAATCTTTTCAACGAGTCCATTGTGTAGAATTTCTTCGAGATACGTTAATAACTAATTTTGAATGAGTGCATTGTAAAAAGCCCCTGTTGGAGGGTAAAAAAACCACGACAATAGGGTTTACCTGTCCGCCATATTGCTCCCCCTATGTTTACGATGGCAGTAAAACTGTAATTGCTACAGATCAAACGCACCGACCGACTGACGAACTGTGTACAGTTTCAAACATATATTCTGCAGTTCTCAAACATATTTCGATAAGAACATTGTATCTTACTGCTATTGAAATATGGATAGAATTTCTATTAAAAATTATATTGGTTGATGCCGCGATATATTTGTTACCAGTTAATTATTATACCATTTTCAACCTTATCATTAAGTAAATAAAGTAATATTGTATTTAACAATATTGCAACATTATAAATGATTGTATTCTTGCACATTTATTTAAGTTTGTGCATATAAAAATTGCTTCTAGAATTTCTATTGTTCTGAGAATGCAAAGTATTCAGTTTGGTATGATGTCAATTCAAATATTGCACTAAACTTGTAACATTAAGCTAATCCTTACTAATATAAACAATGTAAAATATAATGAATGAAATGATGTGTGTTTGTTTGTTTGTTACCTCTTGACGCCTCAAAAGCTTAACCAATCGTTATCAATTTTGATAGATACTAACTATAAACTTTTGTTTCTACCGTGAAGCAGTTGTGTTTGCATGGCTGTGTTTCAGTTTGAAGGGTGCGTGGCGTGAATTTACAGGGTACAGAGGAATAATATCTGAGTCCTCAAGAATGGCAACACATGGGGGTTATCATGGGCGATTAACAGTATACTCTGTTATGTCCATGGTACTGCTCATGTCTATAGACGACGGTTACCACTTTCCATCAGGTGGGCCGTCAGCTTGTTTGCTATTCTAAGTAGTATAAAAAAATGAGATACATGAAACATGAGGCACGTGATACATGGAGAAGGAAATGGGTTGCTTTTTATCCCGTTCAATAAACATGTCCCGGTCGCGCAGACGAAGTCGCGAGTCTCTAATATATTAAATGTAAAAGTTTTTATGTGGATCTTTTTTTATGCATTTTGAAATGGCAAACAATCTTACACCTCACAGGATTGTAAATGGTAACCGCCGTCTATAGAAACGAATTATAACCCTTATGGTACTTTTTATCCAGGTTCGCGAGCTCTAATAAATACAAATAATCTTCACTAATGTTATGGAGACTTGAGTGACGACCCCGTACTTTTTTAATACAGGTGATGATGGAATGGTAACCCCGCCTGCGCTAACGATATACACTGGCGGGACACTAGTGAGGGATGATAGGTGAGGATGAAAAGACAGGTCAGTTAGCTCATCATGATGAATTTATCAGGAATTAACCGTGATAATTTCTAGGGAGAACCGCGAGGAGGTCGACCTGGTTGAGTATATTGCTAGCAATGGGACTCTTAGTCTCCATTATTAACAACCAATTATTTTTACAATCTAATATATTCATGTTTTGGATCGCAAGGGACTTGGTATGATAGATAGATAAACTGATACCTTCAAGACTCATTGAATGCCAAGGTTCCGAAGCAACAGTGAACGCAAACATGCGAATAGTTCGTCCAATTGTACCGATTGCGGGCAATCTACAGTTGCGTAAAGTCAACAATTTGAATTGTTTTGCACTATTATTTCATTGGATCACTTGTGGCACAGGACATCCTTCGAGATGCCGTGAGCAAAACTAATAACACACTTTGTCCTACTTCTATTGATTCATATAGCAACAAGATTAGTTCTAATTTGTATATTATATATATTCTTTATTGCACTTGTAAATTACATTGTTAATGCATTTATAAATGTTGTGAGCAAGGGTGGACTTATCTCTGACAGAGATCTCTTCCAGTCAACCCAATGCAGTTAGAAAGCATGTTGTTAGCGGGTAGCTGAAGTGCTACAACTATTAATATTTAGTGTACATATATTATAAAATTAAACCTAAATCTTTACTAGATTTACCCATCCACAATACCCATCCAAACTCCATAGTTTGGGAGAGAAGCGATTGTTAATAATCCGGACAACCACTCCCATTGCTAACAATATGCCCAACCAGGTCGACCTTCACGTGATCCTCCTGGAAACAATCGTGCTGAATTTGAGGTGAATTCATCACGAACTAACTGGCCTGTCTTTTCATTCTTACCTCTCATCACTGGTGCCATGCCAGCGTATACCGGTAGCGCAGGCGGGTTACCATTCCATTGTCATCCATTAAAAAAAATCCCTAATTCCACATAATACAGTATAGTCGAATTCTATATAACTACGTTGTAATAAAATTGTAAACAGACGACGTCTGTACATAGAAGATATTTAAGACGAAATTATATGTTTATCTGTCTACATATTTATTCAGACACCAAAATTACTACACCAAGTTTGATATGGTTCTCACAGTTATTTTCTTAAATATTAAACTTAAAATGTGTGGTATTTTTTTATCCATTTCTCTAAGAATAAACGTAGAAAGTCTTAAAAATCTTAAAAATTTAAGTATTTCATACTACATTGATCAATTGAAAATTATTTAGATTTTTAGTCTATTTTTTTTATAACACAGGGGGCAAACGAGCATGCGGCTCATCTGATGGTAAGTGACTACCGCCGCCCATGGTCACCCACAACACCTACGGCATTGCAGGTATGCTGCGGCCTTTTAAAAAGGAATATGCTCTTTTCTTGAAGGTTATGTTGTCGTATCGGTTCGGAACTATTTTTGATTGAGGCTTTTTATAAATTTAACAATAATTTATCCAACTATCTGACTAATACGATATGATCTCCTTATATTTACCTTTTAAAGGATAAAGTACTCTATTGGAGAGTTTTGCCAGTAGTTGCCACACTTAGCAGGCGAATTTGCAATCGCAGTTAAGCCTTGGAGATGTTTTAAGAGAGACATTGCTATCCATCTCTCGACCATTAAATTTATAATTTAAATATCATAAATTATACACTAAACATATAATTTATGGCGTAAAAACTAATAAACATGGGATTCATTAACTATATAATACTGAAACATTAAATGGCAAAAGATTTAACTTTTACAATTGAAGTTATTACTTACAATAAAATACCATTAATAAAAAAATACTCACACAATGCAAAAAACAATAAAGAAAAATAACTTTATGCATTTGATAATAAGGTAGATAATATAAATGGACCCGAGTCTGTGACTTAGTAACTGCCAATTACGTTTCATATCGGAATAGTAGACAAAACGACAGCCAAACAATAACATAAAAGAATCGATACTCCGAGATACAAATGAATAATCTATAAATGCCTTAAAGACATCGATTTGATGTCTTAAGTAAGTCACAGAACGGACAAGGGAAAATATGGTAAACATTTTTTTTTCTTTTTAAATCAATAATTAGACTTTTTTCAACAATACCTGATGGAATGTAACACGATTAATAACAAGTCTCTTCAAGAAGTGAAATAAAAACACTGAAAATTGGAGTACGTGTTGAATGTATAACTATTTCAAGTGACTTACAGAAGTAGGTGGTTTTAATCCGTGTGCATATTCTGTAACAACAGACCAGAGATATGCAAAATAGTAATTTAAGAGTAGACTGGTAAATGTTGGTATTAAGTCCGCCTTTTGTACCATATTTTATTTTGGTCAATAAAGTCATTTAATAAATGAATAAATAATGTAAAGAATTATATATAGTATTTGTATTAATTTCGCATTCACATATGAATATCTTTTGCTTAAAGTTTCAGCCCTAACATTTTCAACCGTCTGTCTATCCATTGCTAAGTCTACATCCAAAGTTAATACGATCTTGTTATTAGGAGTATAATAAGTCGGCATATTCCATACTCAGCCCGTTTGCACGATACCATCTTTCGCTATTTTTATTTTATTCATAGAGCGAATCTTTATTCTTTTGTTTACTTCTCTTTATACTGGGAGGTCGCTACTGTCC